CTCTTGAGCTTTCAGGGGAATTTGAGCAACTCTGTCAAACTAATCTTTGACAAATCCTTAGTATTTTCTAAGGTTGTAATTGTTGCTTCATACCTTTCAGGAACTGTTACAAGGATCTTCTCAACAATTCTCGAGTCTGAAAATGTAGAGCCGAGTAGCCTCACCTTATTTGTAATATTTAGAAGTCTATCTGAATATTTCTTCACTGTTTCAGATTCCTTCAATTTTTGCAATTCAAACTCCCTAATTAAGTTTAAAACTTGCATACCTTTTATTCTCTCATCTCCATAATACTCTTCCTTGAGATAATCCCATACTTCTTTAGCAGTTTTCACAGACATTATTCGCGTGAAAACTGTTGACGATACAGCAACAAATAAACATGCCTTGGCCTTCGATCTCTTTGTCTTCTTTTCCTTGTGTGCTTTAATCTGAGCAATGGTAGGATTATTTGGTAGGGCTGAAATATCGTAATCCTCTTCCACATCTTCCCAGAGATCCAAAGCATCCAAGTACGTCTCCATTCGTACTGCCCAAATCTAATAATTATCTCCATCAAAGACCGGCGGAGAAATTGGTGAGAAACTTGCTTCAGCATCCATGGCTTCTCTAACTCGATCACAGATCCCTTAAGATAAAAGCTTTGATACCAACTGTTAGTTTTAGTAAGACTGATGACAGATAACACAATGAAGACAATGTCTAGTTTGCTACAGAAAGGAAAGCAGAAGAATACAAGGAATTTAAATGTGAAGATGACTAAGAGAAAAGCTTATGCAGAGAGTTTTATTTCAGTAAAAAGAACCAAATATACATAAACATACAATTAAAGAAATTGAAATAGATCATGGTCCTACTTTTAAGTCATGGTGCTAACCATGGTAACTACCCTTAAAATAAATGAAAAAAGAAATACAGGAAACTTAGAAATAGACCCTGCAGTCCTAAAGCAACTAACTAATAAAGATAATGTGAATTTTCTTCTTTAAAGTGACTTAAAAAATTGTTGAATGAAGAAGAAGAAGAAGGAGGAGGAGGTTGGAATAATGGTGAACAACAAGGAAGAAGAAAGAGAGGGTGGGGGTGGGGGTATGCATTTATAAATTAATCAATTGATATAATTAATTTTACAAAGTATTTAAGAAAAAATAGTTAATAAGTAAAAAAGAAACAAAAATAAATGACATGGTGCCTACATGGTTATGAGGTGGCGCTTACGTGGCTATGATGTGGCAGTGAGAGTGGTGTTATAGCCTCAGGGTGGAAAAAAATCACTTCAAAGATGTTAAAGGGGGTATTTAAATGCCCGTATAGTTTAAGTACTAAAGTAAGTTATCCGACCAAGTTCAGGGGTTTATTTTTTATGTATTTTCTTTTTTTATTATGTGTTGCGGGGATGGTTGACATGGTTTTCAATGCGATCAAGTAAGATTTTAGTGATATTGAGCTTTTGAGTTAAGTTATATTAAAAGTGTTGATTTTGGACATTTCGTGATCCAAGTGTTGAATGGTGATTCTATCAGTTCCATTACATCTGAAACGTCGAGTTAGATGGTTATGAGTGGAGTAATTTTAGTGATTATTTTGCTAACCAATTCTATGATCAGCAGGATGATTAATTGTAACATGTGTCACCTTTGTCCCAGAGACAATGTCGACGCCACTTTTAGCTTGCAGATTGATGAAGCATAGTATGATTAGTGCAGACAGGGCATCGCCTTCTTCTTAAACATTGGTGCAGTAATTGTGGAGATCAATTAGGCGTCATCATTAACTCCCTTAAACCACTCAAACAAGCCTTGCTCCCGAGTTACCCAATAGAAGTATGCATGTTTAGTAGCAAAAGGACTTCTTTTACTACCCTTATGGCCACTCTCGACTAGGCCATCTGAAATGTCCTTTTGTTGCTTGATGTTGTTGAGCACATCTTTTACTATGCATATCAAAGGGGTTGCTCCAATGCCAAGGCGTACTCAGAGGACTACATCGTATTTCTTGTAATCATGTGATCTATAAGGGCCATCAATCAAGAGCTTTGGCATTGATCTGTTATACATTGATATGAATAAACTTAAGGGGGGGAAATTACTTGGAAATTTTCAACCTTTACCCCTTACTTAGGCTTATACTCATTGGCCATTAATTCAAAACGGAAATTAATAACAAACTAACAATTCAGGTCATACTAAACAAATAGTCTACAGAAAAATAAAAGATGCAATTTCTAATCACAAATAATCTCACTCCTAACAATAATAAAACGCAATCTTAAGAGACATTATCTGTGCAATTTGCAATGAGGCACATATCGAGTTTGAGAAGTGAAGCAATCATTCTGATCTTCCAGAAACTGAAAACTAAGTTTAATCTTATTCAAGTTAAATGATAAACGAACACGAGGAATGGAATGGCGCAAAACACAGGTATATTGTTTAACAATAGACTATATATACTTAATTAGAATCAAGGCTTAGGTGTCTTTACTGTTTACATTATACTAGAAAAGATAAATTTTGTAGGTAACAAAAAAGTCAAGTCTTAGGCCTTGTGTCACATCCCGCCACTTCACAGTTCAAATTCGGCACCGGAATAAGGGAGAAGAATCTAGAGTTGTGGGGAGGTTAGTAGAAGACTCTAGAACTCCCTAGAGAATTTCTAAGAAGACTTTAGAAATCCCTATGTCTTTCCTTGGAAGACTCTAGAAACCCTTAGATATTTTAAGAATACTTTGGAATATCCTAAAACATGTAGAGAGTTTTAGAGAGGAACCAAAGTATAATTATTAGAGGGACTTGTAAAGTAAATATTAATTACACTTTAGTCCCTAGGAGGTAGTATAAATAGAGGTGCCCCTCATTTGCTAGGCAACAAGCAAGTTGTAATCCTTCTTCCAAGCAATACAAAGTCTTCTTCCAAAATTCTCTAAGTCTTTCTTTCCATTCTCTTAGCGGTCTAGCTTCAAGGGCTTACTTGAGCTTACAAGATCATGAAAAATTCGTAAGTAAATTGTCAAGTGCCGCATGGAATATTAGTAAGACTCTAAGTCCGTGACACTTAGGACTATAGGAGTGAAATCTCTTTCATAAGAAGTATCGTCTCTTCTTTGTCTCTTACGGGATAGTAACCCATTTTGATGAATAAACTTCTTGCGGGCCAATTTCCCTTAAGGACTTGTAAGACAATAAATTTGTATCCTTCTTTTTTGGTTAGTTCCTCGCATGATTTCATCGGTGAGGTTGCAACATTTTTGCCTCCGGAGTCAGCCACAGCCCAAAACAAAAAATTCAAAATCAGATTGAGTCAACAACACAGCCACAAAGTCGATAATAAACATGTCACACCTGAAATTGATTATAACAGTGATTTGAGAGATATAAATGTAGTTGACAACTCATTTTTTTCCCCTTCCCTAATAACATACCAATCCAAAACACTGATCAACGGTCGGTGAGGCTCACCAAGGATGTTTTTCCCCCAACCAGCAGTGTTGGCCTGAAAGGGTTAACTGGATTTGGCACCACCAAACATCAACAATAAATTGAGGATGAATTTGAATGTACACTAATATTACCGGAATGAAATTAATATATTTTTATTTTACCTTCCTTTTTCATGTCCGGAGGTATTCTGATAAAAGTGAATTAATTCCCCAACCTACAAAATTAAAATACACTACAAGATCAGATAAATGCATATCTAATTCTAAACAACACTACAAGAAATAAACAAGGTATGTGCTTAATCAAAGTTGAACCTGATAACAAAAACAAAACTGAAATCTAAATATAAATCTAATTAACATCAGGGCATACCAAACATCAAAACAGACCAATTTGAAATCTAAATAACGCATAACACAGCTTGAAATTACAAGGGAATAGTGAATAAATGTGAATAAATATCAACAGACAGTTTCAGATCTATAAAATTGGGAGAAATAATAAACCTGGTAAAGCTTCAACTTCAATGTAGCATCAAATGAAAGTGTGCTCATACTAGGAAGCAGCGGTATATCATCAGTGTACAAATCTCCAAGTTCATCAGTGTACAAATCTTCAATCTTCTTCTCCAATGGTATATCTTGGTTTAGCTCATTCTTAAACAATACATTACCACCAAACCCTATAGCATTATTGGAGATAGGGTTTGGTAGTAATGTATTGTTTAAGAATGAGTTTGTGGAAACGATAGCATCGGTGAATGAGAAAGAAATGCTCTGCTAATTCCTGAGCTAACAAAGCACTGAGACAACGACGCCATTACGGTAGTGGTGCTTAATTTGGGTTTTTGATACTTTTGATTATAGGACCACCTCTATATATATACACACATAAAGGCGGTTCAATAAAAGATGTACACTTCCTCATGTTCTTTACTTGGGTGTACTTATTCTAATTTATCATGAGATTTGCACAAATAACATTTTTAAATTTTGTACCTTTTAAAGACAAATTGAACACATTATTTTGAAGTTGTGGTTAAAATTGTTTTATCGAGTTGTCTATGGGTTTATGAGGTTGATTTCGGAAATTATTATCAAGATTCATTCTTAATTTTTAAGGTCCAAATCTTCGTGGCAGCACTTTGAATGGTTTGTGCTTTTGCTTGTATTTTTCAAATTATTATTATGGGATTAAAGATCTTGAAAGGTTATTTTAATTTTCCTTTTTCCAAGTTTGATATCTTGTCGTCAACATAAATAAGTTGATATTAACAATGGGGCACAAAATCACCCGTATGTAAAGAGTACACCAACAAAAAGAAAAATAGATATGATATTTCTATCCCCTAACCCCAACCCTAAACGAACTAGTGTAAAACTACTCAGTTCACACACCTTTTGATTGTGTTTGCTTCATCCAATCAAGGCTTTCTTCCGCAGAACCAGAAGGAAGTAATTTTTGTTGCTGCAGATGAAAATCAAATGATGAGTAAATACTTCAAACCAATTAACCCATGGCTAAGAAGATAGTATTAGTGGCATACCCATTCTCTTACAACTGGCCCTCCACTTTTCTGCATCATGAAGCAACACTCACAGAAAACGAGGAGAGTTCAATAAGGTTTAAAAGCTCCCAAGCTGAACCCAAGAAAGCAACACACAGCCTGTAATAGTCACAAGTGATTAACATGTAAGAGGTAACAACCATCAAGGAGAAAGAATTAGAAATTAAACATCAAAAACTAGTACATCCAGAATAGATAGAATTTTGATTTCCTTAGAATGGAATGAGCACTTCAACAACATAAAACAAACACTTCTACAATTTTATCATGTTCCTTTAGCACTCTTTGGGGGTCCTAGGAACATTCAAAATCTTATTACAACTTTGAAAATTGTTGGTTGAACACAGAAGGTTTTATAGATAAGTTAAAACTTGGTGGAACTCTTTTTGTCTTCACAGGAAGACTTGACTACATATTAGCTTGTAAACTCAAAGCCCTCAAAGGCAAGCTTAAGAAATGGAGTTAGAATGAACAAGGAGACCTGAAGATCCAAAGGTCTAAGTTGCTCTGCCAAATGGAAGCTTGGACTCTTTACTTGATAGTAGAGAGCACTGACAGAGGAAGAATTGGTCAACAGTCGGTTGTTCTCATGGATTATGAAGAACTACATATTCATGAGGAGATTGCATAGAGACAAAGGTCTAGGACCTTATGGATGAAAGAGGGACAGAAATACTAAGTTCTTTCATCACGTTACCAATGTTCATAAGAGAAACAACCGTATTGTACACTTAGAAGTACAGGGGAGAACAAAGAAATAAGGGGATAGACAAGACAGTATCAGCAAGATTGGATAGGTTCTTAATTCAGAAGAATGACATACAAGCTTCAGGAACACAAGGCAGTCCTTCATGCCATCATGCACAGAGTGACTCACAATCACCCACCATTGATGCTACAATGTGGTAACTGGAACATAACAATTCTTACTTCAAATTTGAGAATTGGTGGCTTCAAACAGAAGACTTTCGCACTGGAAGGTCTGACTACATTCTAACCTTCAAATTGAAAGCTCTGAAGAAGAAGTTGAAGGAATGGAGTAATCTAAGGTAAACTATGACTACAGAAGCAAGTGTATTAAATCAGTTTACAAATTGGATGAAATCCCAGATCAGAAGCTTTTAACAGAAGATGAAATAACCAAAAGATTGGCTTTATCAATGGAATTTGAAGATATTGCAAGACATGAGGAGATTGCTTGGAGACAAAGATCTAGGACACTATGGCTGAAACAAGGTGATAGGAATACTATTTTTTTTCACAGAACAGCCAATGCACACAGGAGAGTCAAGACACTCAAGACACTGATAAGCTAACAGTGTTGGGTATGTAGCAAAGAGTTAATGGGAAATAGAGGGAAGATGAAAAGAGAGGAACTTGAAAAGTCCTCTTATGCTTTATTGAAAAGGCATTTGTCCCTCATCGGTGGTGGAAGAAAATAGGAGAGTTTAAATACAGAAACACTCCTATTAATTGTTAAAAGGGTTGGAAAGAGGGATCCCCCTCGCGCCATCGTCATCGGTCGGCTTCGGCTTCGGAAAATGATCGATCGAGAGACTCGGATACACGCGCGACCCGTTTTATTTAAATCTCCCACTGTTGGAAGTGACTGTTCTGAAAGGTAGCAACTTTCAGAAACAACCATGACCATTTGAAAAGGTTGCAACCAGTTCCTTTTGCCTATAAATACATTGATTCCTCAGACTTATTCCTTACAATTTTTTTTGATTTCTTCTTCTTCTGCACAAAATTTCTTCGTGTACTTCACTACTGTTGAGTGGTTCGCTGACACCAGAGTTTTGGGTATCAATACACTGGTGATTAAGATCATTCTATCTTGGGAGGACATATTCCAAATCAAACCCTGGATACAGAAGGAGAATAATTTCCTTAAGGGGACACTGTGCATTCAGTGGGCTTGATCTTTTTCTGATTCTGTTTTTTCAAAGGATTGTGGTACGTTTTTTACAGATTTTAGTTTTGTCAATTAATTTCTGTTCATCTAGTCTTACTGGTTTATTAAACTTTGGTTACTTCATGTTTCTGCAAAGTTTATTGAAATCAGTAATTCTGGTTTTTAAACACAGATTGCTAACAAACAGTAGGAGGAGAAACTAACAGACCCAGCTGACATTAAGAAAGAGAGAGTGTGGTTGACAAACCAATTATCAGAGGCGACTATAGTGCTTTCATCAAATGATGCATGTGGCTGAGTCATTCCCATCCCAAGTGGTGCCCCAATTTGGCCTGGAGGAAATAGTCTCCTACTATGAAGAACTTTACTCTGAGACTGAGGAATGGAGACCACATTTCAACATGAGGGATTGCCCCATGATAATGCAAAGGACAAAATGATGTCGATGGCACCTTTTGAGCCACAAGAGATCCTGGATTGTGTCAAAAGCATATGCAGGAAACAAAGCCCCAGAACCAGATGGATACATCATGGTATTCTTCTCTTTATGTTGGCAAGTGATCGGTCCAGATGTAATAGCCACAGAGCCAAATTTCCGAGATGAAATCTCAAATGGTCACTTAATTAACTATGGATAACTTTCTCAGAAAGTCAATTAACTATGGCTTGTTAACTCAGAAAGTCACTTAACTTTGTTTCATAACCCAAAAGTCTCTCTAAATAATTTTTTCATTAAATTTTGTTGGCATGAGATTTTTATTTTATACTAATTTTTAAAAAAATAAAAAAGTGTCCATTTTAATCATTTTATTGATGCACCCCACCAAAATTATAATGAATCAAATATATATTTATCAAGACCGTTTTATTTTAGATGCATTTAAAATAATATTTAAAGTAATCACCCAAATATGTCTTTAGTTATTCATCTAATATAAACCCAAACCTTGCACCTAAAATCACCAAATCATATGGAGAACATGAGTGTCATCTAGCTAACAGCACAACAAAGTTATGTCCCAACCAACTTATTGGAACCTAAAGTGATTGAAGGAGATACAAAAAAGTTAACCATTACATTTGACTTAAGTTTACTTAAAAGACATGTACACACATAAAATATGCAACCTCTTCTGCGAGCTGGATTTGAACCAGTTCTGTGAGCAAAAGAATTGCTAACTTCATGCTAGATCACATTGGAGGTAATTAAAATCCCCCTGCAGTAGATCCAGCCCATTTTAGGTTACATAGAGGAGTTTGTTCTGCTAGCACCAAACATCAAGAATTAAAGACAACGAAGATTGGTTGGTACTGGTACTTCTGAGGAAAAGGAAAAAGAAAGCCTTTGAGGGGTAGAAAATGATAGGCTCACAGAGCAGTCTCTTGCAGCCAATTCTAGACCAAAAGCCGAAGCAGATGGACAGGGAGCCACTTGCAGCCATGTTGATCAAAATGACTTGAGTTTAATGACTTGACCGTGGTACAGGTAGGGCTTGTTTCTGATTCTCATCAAATTTTGGTGTGCTCTTTGCAGAGAACAATATACTGGTATAGTCTCACTGCTGCCTGTACACCACTTGTATAGCAGAACGTAAACCTATCCTTATCCAGCCAGCCATCAACACAATTTAGTTCTCTCTCTGAGAAATTCCTTATCTTATGTTTTACTTCTATAAGTAATTTTGAAGGGTGTGGATAGAACTCCTAAAAAATAACTAATCCTAATTTAGATGCCCCATTTAGCTCAATCACAAAATGCTTAGAGATATTCAATTTGCTTACGACTTCGAAGAAATACCTCCAAATCAATCATACATGTTGATTTGGGTGATAATCACAAATCGAATCTAACAGTATTAAAATCCTTAATACTGTATACACCAAGACCAAACCCTTCTATCCTTTTGTGCTTAAAGCTAGAATTTCAAGTTTATTCATAAACATTGTTAAGTTTGGGAATGATATTCCTAAGCCTGTAAAATAGTCAAGGTTGAACATGGAGAAGGTCTCAATCTTGAATTTGACTGGGATGGCTATAGTCATTCTAATATTCGCACCTCAGCTCTATGTAGAAAGAGCTCCACCTGTCCTGTTTAAAGTTTTACCTATAACTCAATGGATTATAAATCCATGCTTGAAACTTCACAGGCTGCCAATCATCCAATATCATAATGATAACAGCAGTGTTGTCAAAGCCACGTTTAAGCCCTGAAGTGAGGTTTAGAGTGTGTTGAGCGCTTCACCGCGCTTAATGTGCGTTTCAGTGTCATCATCAAGGTCCTAAGGCATACTCTTACTTGCCAATGAGCCTCTTCTGGAGAGGTGGCACTAAACAAGTGATATTTCACTTTATCGTAATTGTTTTCAATCTCTTTGTTCATATATTTGTTACTCGTGCTCCTTCACTGTGCAGTGCCCAAGGTTCTATGGAATATGTTCTGCTGCATTTTTAGCTTACAATGGGTCATGCCACAAAATGTGAAAGAAGCCTACTCAAGTTGGAATACATGGAGAGTTGATAAGTCCATCAAGAAAGTCTGGCTGATGATCCCTGGAGTTAACTTTGGTGTTTATGGACTGAAAGGAACCGTAGATGTTTTAATGGGATCTCAACAGTCAACCCCAAACCACTCTCTTAAAGTTAAATGCTTACTTATGCTGTTCAGTTGGGTTAAATTAACCCCTGTATTTAGCACTAAACAATTTCTTGACTTTGTTAGCTCTCCAGTACTAGTTTGAAGATTGTAAAGGAGCTAACAACTTTTATGCTCACTGTGAGCCCTTTTGTCTATTATGTAATTCTGCATCTGCTTGATGTTTTTTAATGAAATACCTTACTTCATCAAAAAAAAAATTTGTAACTCGTGCTTATAAATATTAATCTTTGACTAACATATATATTTGTATTGTATCTTCCTTTGCGCTTTTTTTCATTAAAGTTCATGTTATATTTGCGCTTAAAGCCCCAATGGACCTTAGAGCTTTTTTGCGTTTTTGGCTTTTGATAACACAGGTCAACTGTAACACTCAACATCTATGCCACATAGGATAAACAAGGCTGTCATAAGAAGAGGGAGGGAGGCAAATCAGAGATTGTCTAATGCATTACCAAAATGAATAGCTCGAGAACTCTTAGGGGATCATCCAAAAAGGTCTGTTTTGGAGGTAGAGGGGTGACAATTTTTCCAGACTTCAGATCTGCAATGCCTGAGAAACATGAAATCAATTAATTAGTCAGAGACACTTGTAGTTTAACCTATCTTTATTGGTATGCTTAACTGAATCTGGGCAAAAGAAACAGAGGTCATGCTAACCTCTTCTTTTTTTTTTTGATAAGGTAAAGGTTGAGGTCATGCTAACCTCTTTCTCTAAGATCTTCGACTGATTTGGTGTTAATGTTGCAAAACAAGCTGTAAACATAATCTTTAGTGAAGGATTAACTGATTAAACAAGGAAAATGATCTTTTGGAAACAAAAAGCTAACTTAAAATAAAGTTGGACTAATACATTAATGCATCCAAAGGCTAGATAATGAAATGATATGAAAACCCCCCACCCCTCTCTGGGAGAAAAAATAAAACTATTCAGAGAAAATGAATAAATATATTAGAGAAAAAGGAAGAAGAAAAAGAAACTAAAAGCTCCACTGGAGTTTGTGCTCTTACACTGACATGATCAAGGTGCTTTTGTTTCCTCCTTTACTCTTTTTTTGTTGTTTGGGACTTTGGGCTGGGATGAAGAGGAAATAAATAGATCAACTAAACCAAGTTGCTGCCTACAAGTGTGAAGGTGTGGCAAAAATAAAAATAAGGTGACAGAAAGTAAAGATTATCAAAATACCTATTAATGGTCAAATCCCTGCGATCTGCATCCTGTTTTGCAGTGCCAAATTTCTAAGGAACAACAGATGAGAAAGAGTTTAATGAAGAAACTAGCCTACATAGTACACTGAACACACCTGCTTGAGTGTTGAAACTTTGACATTTTAGTTTTTTGATGTAACAGTTAGGATGAGTGAGATGACAACATTAAACTAATGGAAAGGAATTTAATCATAATAGATATCAAATTCAGAGGGGTATCTAGAGGGGGTTCTGTGGGTTCACGTGAACCCATGCTCCCCTCTCTAGATTATATATAGTAGTGTTATATTTTTAAAAAAATATTTAAATATAAAGGTGTGAACCCATGTTAAAAGTAGCATATAATAATATGATGATGATTGGGTGCACCTCTCTCAGCAAAGATAGAAATTTAAATCTTATATCTATCTTATTTTTATTAGTAACACCCCTCCAAGTGGTTATCGGTAACACTTTTGACGTTTCAATCAATTTTTGTTTTGTTTTTTTTGTCTTTTAATTCTTTTCTAAAAATTTTTCAAGTGTGTAACATTGGAAATTCCTAAAAAAAAAATTAGCAACGATATAATTTTTATATAATTAAATCAAATGTGTATATTAAATTTAAAACTAGTAGTATTATATATGTTGGACCTATAATTTTTAAAATTTAACAGTTCAGTGTGAAGAACATAAAAGTCAAACCGATCAAACTTATATCTTAGATGCATATTTTTGTAATAGTGCACCCATCCTTCCGAAATCCTGGATACGCCTCTAATATCAATAATAAATATATGAAGACTTCATACTATTGCAGCAATGGCTGATTAAGTTCATGATTTTTTTAAAGAAATTAGATCTTGGAAATTAAACTATTCCAACGTATTAAATAGGAAACATTCATTGATCTTGAGCAAGCGGTGGACTGGAACTGGTAACATGATTCAGCGTTCTCATTCAGTAAATAGCCACCCCAATTGTGCCCACTTAGTAACCTCATTTTCTTAGGACTAGGTCATTCTTAATTGAATGGATGAAACTAAGCATTGTACTCTCTTAACTGAGGTCTTTGATGCCGAATGCATTAAAATACAATCATGCAAAGGCTCTAGATTTACTTATTCCTTCCTTTACTCCCTTCTGTTAATTTTCCATAGCTAGGTTTGGTGGAATCTACTTGGCCTTCATCCCTCGCATTTACAGTAAAAAAAACACCACAAATTTAAACACCAAAGAGAAGATATACATTTGATTACCAATTCACATTTACATATCATTGTTGGAATACGACTGTTCTCACTGTAGTCTTCTGCTCTTAAGTTGACAAAATTAATCCATACGTCAAAAAGGCGCATCCTTGCTGTTTCCAAGTGCTTTGACTGATCGGGATTGCTGTAAAAATTGAAGAACAGTATTTAGTTAGTGACAAATTACTCTACAACAAATCACAATCAAAATAGATAGTCGTAAGATCTTAAAGTACCTAATAGGATAGAAGATAAAACATTTGGGAGTCGTTTGGTGTGAAGGGTAAGGTATAATAATCCAGGGATAAAATGCAGGACTATTTTATCCTGCATTTGGTTGGAGGTATTAGGGAGTCCTAGGATTATTTATCCCACCATTTATATCTTAGTGATGGGATAAGTTATCCCATATACAGGGTGGAATAACTTGTTCCCAACCAAATGACCCCTTATAGCTAGAAGTGGGCATGGTACAATAGATACCGAATACCATATCGAAACTGAAATTTTTTATACCACAGTTTCAGAATCATGGTATTTGGTATTCAATAAGGTATTCGGTATTTATAACAAAAATATTGAAATACCACCAAATACCACACCAAAGTATATAGTTACATCTAAAATCCATATATATCATAATGCTGGCAAATATATAAAATAGTATTAATACAAAATTAATTATTTAGACATTGAAACTTTGACTACTCTATCTTAATTGAAATATTCTTTTGGGGAGATTGATTAATGAAGGATATTGTTTGAACTTTTATTTTAAATAATTCTACAAGTGTAAGGTGTATGTATGATATAATTGAGACATTTCTTTACAAGTCCAAATCATAGTTCTCTATTATATGAGTATATGTAAGTTGAAGGTGACCAAAATGTGGTTACCGATTTACCGTACCGGAAAATATCTAAACCAAACTTCAAATACCAAACTATATCAAATTAATTTGGTATGGTAATAGTATAGCATTTTTAAAAACCGAAACTTCCAATATTGTACCATACACACCCCTACTTGTAGCAGAGCAAATTATAATTTTCTTCTTTTTCCTTTTTCGCACCAAAACTAAGAACTTGCATCTTTTTAATATGTAGGAAAACCAATATTAGCCCTCAACCCCTCAAGTCCCAAACTCTACTCAAAGGGCACAGACTTGCAAAAACAGTTGTACTTTACGCCCAGCTACAAAAAAGAGTTGTAGCAAGATCTTTATTACAAGACTCTTACTCTAAACACAAATGAGGACTAACAAAAAGCAATCCAATTGCACTAGAGTTAAACATATCTTCTCAAGTCATGGTTTAATTAATTGATATCTTATCAACAACCTCTCTACCCCACAAAGGTAGGGTTAGGTTTGCGTACATCCTACCCTCCCCAGAACCCACTAGCAAGATTACATTGGGTATGTTGTTGTCGTTGACAACTTGGCAATCGTTCTCAAAAACACAATACACGTCCTACGCTACATTATTATTATTATTATTATTATTATAGCACTGGTTTTCGAGCTACCTAGCCTCCACTTCGATTATTCCATTGGGTACATGCTACCTCCTCCCATCAGTAATAGTACGAGATAAGTCTGACCGCCAAGATTTAGGCAAATGGGAAGAAACCACCTAATGTTTTATATTTTTGTCCTCACTACAATACTACTAATTTCCAAAGTAAGAAATCTACTAGAGTAAAAATAATTGGGCCTACATTAAATGAGGGACAACACAGCTTCACTTCCCACTTCAGAGAACTAATAGCTAGTTCATGGTTCAGCCATGAACTGGTTTTCCCAATTCGTTTATTTTATTAAAAGGATTGCCTTGCAATGACACAATATAGCCTGAGTCCCCATTTTAGTGAGATAAAAAGTTTCCTAATATGCTTTTATTAATTGTGCCAATTACGTTTCACCCCATCCTCCCACAGACCAACTTTTACCTCTATTTTCGTTGTTTAACTAACATCTGCCAAAACCAAGACTTATAGTCCAATGTACAAGTGGGAGTTTTCCAAAATAGATCTATCTAGGTTTGATTCTCATCCCTAATGTGATAGAAAAAAATTGGAAACAGATAGGAAAGAATGCAGTGCAGGAACATACCACTGGAACTCCTTGGGTTTCCTCACCTGATGCTGATAAGTATTCCTATCACAGAATTACATGTTGTCAAGAGCAATATCAATATCTTTACCTAGCAGCTACAGTAATACAACTCCAGATTAGCCAAAGCAAAAAAGAAAAACAATGGCCCTGTCTCTGTCTCTATCTCTGTTCCTGTAGGCCACGCGTTGCATGCCTGCTTTATTACCAGTTCGGTTTTGGCATTTTGCCAAATGTGTGTGAAATAAGAATGGTTAGTTTTTTTTTTGTTAAATTAATTCATATTTGCTGACTCAACTAATTTCAGATTAAAAATAAAATTTGGAATTCATGGGCAATTTTTTAAAGTTAGCAATACTTTTCACTTGAGAATTTTGTATATTTTGAAGGAATGCCTAAAGTAAGATTGAATTGTCATTTTGATACTTTTCATTACCTCAAATAGGTGGGTGAAGAGCCTAAATTTGTGTATTTTATTGATCTTTTGAATATGAATATTTATTCCTTAACTTGCCTGGGCTATTCATGTACCAAATAAATGAAATCATCCCTTGTCGAGTTTCAATGCTTTCGGTCCTTCTTGTTACAAATCTTTTCAAGTATGAGTATCAATTTCATAAGTTCTGGGCTATTCATATACCAAATAAAATGAAGTCATACTCTTCTCCAGTTATCTGTGTGCGTCTTGTCTCAATTAAGGTATTTTATTTACTGTTTCATAAAGCTCTTATTTAAAACTAGTAAAATCACCCGCGCCTCGCGTGAGAATTTAATATCACGAAATTTATAAACTAATACTTAAAACATATCAGTCACTAAAACAAAAACATTATATTATCTTACATACAAGATTTTGTCTTACATACAAGATTACGTAGTAAAGAACATTAATAACGTAAAGGAAAATGATAATTATAACATCTTATCATTTATCCTTCAATCAATCATATTTAATTTGATTTTATAATTTATGCTTTTGCTTCTATTTGATATTTTTGGGGAATCAAATGAACATCAACCGGAGATATTAAATTTTCTAATAAATAAATAATTGTCGGTGAAGGGATAAATAAATTTTAAAAGACTGAAAAAAGTGAACAAATATTCTAATTCTAATGTGTAGAAAGTTCAGCCATACCGTTTGCTTTACATATATCATTTTAAAGTTCCACATTTAAATATATCATAAGTAATTATTAAAATGAAAAATTAAAGGGAGAATGTATCATATGAGACAATAATTCAACTTACTATATATACTTGAAACGGAAGATATCCGTTTCAAAAAAAAAAACTTGAAACGGAAAATATTACATAAAATTATTCAGTTTATTTGGGGGTTTTTTAAAAATCAACATACCAGAGTGATGAAGTTTAATTTGAAACTACAATTTCAGTAGAGAAAACTTGCGTGAATACTCAATTAGTGTGTGTTATTTAATCTGTACTAACAAATACTTATAACAATAACTTTGTAGAAACATAAACAACAAAGTTTAAAACAAACATACCACCAGGATCTGTAACAATAGAATGAAGCAAAAAGGAAAAC